CAATCCTGCCACACTGGGGACCAAGACTTTTAAGTGTGGGCCTTAAAGGGACACTTGCCCAAACCACAGCAGGCTCCATCTGGGAGGTCTCGCCAAACACAAATCACCAATGCCCTGATCTTGAACTTCCAGCCTCCAGAACTGTGCAAGAAACTATCACAGACAAGTTCCAGATCAATTACCTAGCCTAAGGTATTTTGTTATAGCGGCAGGAACTGACTGAGACACCAACATTAGCTCTAAGTGTCAATAAATTTTAACCAATGTGAGATCTAAAGAAGACTCCAGTATCTTTCTAAATGTGCCACGTTCATCCCTATCCTCTGAGAGTAGCTAAAAAAAAAATCACTTTTTCAAAATTAGATACTTCATAATGACTATTATTTTTGGAAACAAGGAAATCTATAGATTCTAAGAAGCATGCAGAGCTATTATTTTCCTCCACTGAAAGAACCCAGTCGGCTGAATTTTTTAAATAAACTTTTAATTTTAGAATAGCTTTATAGTTACAGAAAACACATGAAGATACTATGGGACCCCCTCCCCGCCCGCCCCCATTCCATTTCCCCTCTTATCAGCGTCTTACATTAGTAGTATGGGACCTTTGTCACAAATAATGAGCCAACAGTGAACACTTTTTATCAAAGTCCACACTTCATTCAGATTTCCTTAGTTCTTACCATGACTTTCCTTTCCAGTCCCGGGATCCCATCGGAGACGCCACGTTACATTCAGTTGTTACGCCTTCTGGGGCTCTTGTCTGTGATGGTTTCTCCGAGTTTCCTTGCTCTGAGTGACCTCGACAGTGTCCAGGAGACTGGCCAGGTGTTTCGTAGAATGTTCCTCATTGTCTGGTGTTTTTCTCAGGGTCAGATGGAGGTTGTGGGTCTGGGGAGGAGGACCACAGGGCTGGCCACAGCCTGGCAGGGGAGGTACATCCTGCCGTCAGGACTCCCCACTGTGAGTCTGGACCTTGATCATCTGGCAGGGGGAGGGCTCAAGGGCTTCCCCACCCCTTTCCATGCCGTCCTCTCTGCAGGGAAGTCACAGCACTGTCCACCCTTATGGGGGGGATTTACATTCCACCTCCCACCTCCTCGAGGGCAGAAGACATAGTTATTTGGAATTCTGCATGTGAGCTTTGTCTGTTCTGTCCCACTTATTTATTTACTCAGCCTTCCATTCCTCTCAGTATGCGTGCATGGAGATTCACTTTACAATTTGGGTTACGCTCTGATATCACTGTATTTACCATGGTGCCCAGGTTGCTGCAGCTCTGACCACCGGCCACTCTTTCAGTTACCCCTGTGTCCCCCTGACGTGACCCTCCTGGTCACGGGGTTTCTTATGGGCGCCTGCTGACTTCCTGGTGCTTCAAGATGCTTTGGGCTTGTCTCCCTCACACCTTCCCAGCCTGGAACCAGCCTCCCCACCAGTCTGCTTTCTGCTTTGTGCTTGTGGCGCCTGATTTGGTTCATCAGTTTTTACCCCTGAGGTCCGCCTGAGCCCCCGCTACTGCCCGCTGTTGGGCCGACTCCTCTTCTCTCCCAGTTGGGTGCTTCTAGTCAGTTTTTGGCTGGACACCTGAGGCCCATCCTCCTGGAACCACCCCTTGGTGCCTGCCTCTCTGCCTTGGCGCCCACCCCTCCACACTCACCGCACTCCGGGCAGCCCTGGGCTGGCTCTTCCCACTGGCCAGACCTCCTGCAAGGGCCCCCTCTCCTTCCTCAGGTTTCCCCACCCCCAGCATTCCCTCCCCACCCAATCCTTCCTTGCCTATTCTATCCAAAATATTCCCTGTCTCCCTCACAGCTGTCAATGATCTTATGGGCTCATTAATTTCTCCACTGCTGGCCTGTGAGTGCAGGTGGAACCTCATCTCCTTCATCAAGGCTAATCACTGCAGGGTTCACCACAGTGGACTCTGCATCCAGATGCCCGGGTTCGAAGCCCAACTCTGACACTCACTAGCAGTGGCCTTAGAGGCAACACAATCTCTCCAAGCCACAGTTTTCTCTTCTGTAAAATGGATGTGATAATAGAAAAAAAAAAGCATATCAAGTGCTCAGAACAATGCCTGAAGCTTGGAAGATAACTCTGAATATCACCTATTATCATTTACTGTCTTAGAAGCATTCTGGATAGGTGATTTCCTGAGCTCTGATGTCTTACAGACGAAGATTCCTTAGTGCAAGATAAACCTGACAGTGAACAAGAAGCATGTGCTACAACAGTGCCAAACGGCATCTTCCACCCAACTGCCGACTGCTGGGCACTTGTAGTACTAGGGCACTCACAGCCCCTGAAGTAGTGCACATACGAGAGAGTCCGCCTCTTAACAATAAGATACCTTGGGGACTTTGGGACATCCAGATTCCTGCAGGCCATGGAGCTCCAAGGTCCTTAAAACATGGACCAAGTGTTCCTGCCTGCACCCCTCATCCATGCTGAGATGGTGCCATGTCCATCCCTTCCTCCCTCCCTCCCTCCCTCACTCACAATCTGCCTGGGAAGCCCCTGTGCCTGGGCTGCAGGAACACACACTAGCTGGACCTCAACGGGCGTGGCCACCATGAGTCCTGCTGGTGCCTGTCCTCCCCTGGTCTCTCCAGCCTCTCCTGCCCCATTTACCATTTGATCGAGCTGGCTTTGCACATCAGCAAGTAAGGAATTTACCAGCAGTGACAGCAGCCTTGCTAGGAACTCCTGGAATCCCACCAGGCGCCCCCCAGACCCCAGGACCCCAGCACGGCTTGTCAACCCTTGAGACACGGGGAGCTGGGGTCCCATGTCCTCTTTACTTAACCTTTGGGCTTGCTCACGACCACCCCAGCCCCAGCCAGTGCTCCACCAACACCCACACAGGGAGCACTGGCAGGGGCTTCCTTCCCGCCGCTGGTGAGTGTGGGTCTGGGGTGCGACTCCCGGGTTCTCGCCCTGCGCCTGTTCTTGGCGGGGAGACAGGGAGGAATCACTTCCAAGAGACACAGTCAAGGTGCGTTTCTCATGCTGCTCCTGGCAGCCCTTGAGGACCAGAATGGGGGAGGTTGGGGACAGGGTCAGTGTCTCTGATTCCCTGGCTACTGAAATGTTAGTATTATTTAATAGTCGCTGTCATTCATTATACGTCATCCAATTTCACCCTTCCAGCAGCTCTGGGGCACAGGTCGCCTTATCTCTCCTGTAGGCACAGATCAGAGAAGAAAACTGGGAAGGCGAGGGCCGGGGCTGGTATTGGAATCAACGTCTCATAGGACCCACGGCGGCAGTGCCTTGGGGGCTTCAATTTGATGGCTCCAAGAGGGTCCTACGGGAGGACGCCCAAAGGTGGGGGGAGTGATGAAGAGAGGCATGGAGATGTTGGTGGGGGCGCTGGTTTGCTGAGATTCCCATGACTTCGGCGCACACACGGAGAGCCCCTCCTCCTCGGCACTCAAGTTACCTGAGCTGCTCTCCGGTATCTCCTCCTCTTAGCAGCCCTGCCACGCAGTCCTACAATGTCATTTCTAGAGACAGTCATAAATCAACAACTGGCCTCCTTTTACAAGGGATATCATTGAAAATCAGAGAAGGCAATAGGCTTATTCAAGAGCAAACAGCAACTTGATGTCAGAGTTACCACCAGGATCTAGGTTCTACGATTGCTAAGCCATCGCCCCGAGTGGCTTTGATAGAGCGTGGTAACGTGGTTTCACAGGGTAACGGGGTTCACCCCCTGAAGAGAGGGAGGAGGTCGCCCCCCCACCCTTTACTCACCTGAGGACTCTCCCCCTACTCCACAATTAGGCTTTAGAAAAAGAAAGCAAAGACCTTCTTGGGATGCATTCTGGATTCTTCTGCCACATCACTTCTTCACACTCTGCCAGTCTCAGGCAGAGCAGCAGGCACGCGGCCCAGGAGCCCAGAGGTGCAAGTTACCGTTGGACCCGACTCTGCAGTTCACCCTGCGCCCAGCGCAGGAGGCCTATCCACAAACATGATGGATAGTCCCTGAGTCATCTCCAGGCCGATGGCAGAGGAGCTGTCCCCCGTGACCTGTGCTTGGAGAGGGAGAGGCCGGCAGGGAGGAACAGCTTTATGATCCAACTCTGAGCAAATTCACTGGGGGGCCTGCCCAGCTCCAGGCCAGCAGGGAGGGACTAAGCACTTTCTAAGCTGTAAAATGCTCGGGAAAGCACTTTCTGACTAAAGTGCTGCGTCAATGGGGGCTAGGTGGGTGTGGGCCACCGGAGAGGACGTTCTGGCTGTGGGTGGCAACCAGCGTGGCTCTGGTGTTTCCGGCCACTCTAGGAATCTGAGGTTACGCTTTTGCTATCTGGTGACGGGCTTCCCCTCCCTCGAGGATTCTCCCTGGTCGCAGGGTGATTCTCAAGCACACCTTTCCTTAATCAAAAGTATGATTCTATATTCAATTAGTTAGATGCAGTAAGGCCTAGAAAGACAATATTCTGGAAGTTTTATTCAAGTCCTGCCTGGTGTTCCTCTCTGAGGTCCAGGGTCCCAGACCCCTGATCCTCCTCTAACATTCTGCAGGTGCTTGCTGGCAGGTGTGCGGTGGGGAGGGTAAGGCATAAGCAGCTATATGAAGATTTGGATATTATTCTAACCAATAGTTCTTACTAGTGAGTTCATGACTACATACATTTGTCAAAAGTCAAAACCGCATGCTTAAAAATAGTAAATTTTAGGGGCTGGAGTTGTAGCTCAGCTGTAGAGCACTCGCCTAGCACGTGCGAGGCCCTGTGTTCGATCCTCAGCTCTCCATAGTAGTCCAACTACAACTAAAAAATAAATAAATAATTTTTTTTTAAATAGTAAATTTTATTGTATATAAACTATATTTCAGCAAATATGATTTTCTAAAAAAGGCATAAATGCCTTTCCTTGTATTTTGGTGTTTTCCAAATAATTATTATTATTTTAATTGAATTTAATGTATTCCTGGGTATTGCTGTAAAGGTTGGGAGAACGTCAGAGGAAAAGATCACCAAGAGACTGTCTCATGCAACAGCAAAGGGTTTACTGGGGGTCCAGCATGCTGGGGCTCAGAGCTCACTTCAGAGGAGCAGAGAACAAAGAGCCCCGAGAACAACTTAAGCAGAGTTTATACACATTCTTTGGAGAGGGCAGGGACTTTACATACATCATAGCATCCCTTAGCAAATCATCACATACCGCGGGAAAATCAAATAACAACTCTAAAACATGATTAGCACATTCACTGGCGGGAACAGGTCGGGTGGGGGTGATTGGTCAGTACTAAGATGGGTATATATTTAAACTGATTGGTTTAAGCCCTGAGGTGTACACGTGCTGGACTGCACGGTTTCTTTCTGGGCGGGTGGGTTGTTTTTACAGAACAACCAGATAGTCAGGGGAGATTTCAACATACATTTAATGGGCAGTTCCGGGAATTGTTTTACTGCCACATGAATTTCAGGTTCTGAATGCAACTTAAAAACTTTACAAACCTTATCCTTTACATTTCAATTTCTTTTGTCCTTTCATTGCAAGGTGGGAAAAATATCTTTTCCTCACTCATCGCTAAGATCATAACTGAGGTCACTATAACAAAAGACAGGTTAACAAGAGAGCAGCACATAAACTCACTTGCTGTAAGTTTAGTGTGACATGGGAGCCTTCAAAAGGAAAATAAAGACCTAAGGAAACAGGTGAGCTTGGGCGTTTTTCTGCCAAGTGTGATAAAGGGTGTGTAGTTGTGAAGAGATACAACACGTCAAAGAGGGTATGGTCAAGAGGCGATCCGCTGGGGACTTAGCAAGTCTAGATCATTCTCTGTGACCCTGGGTCTTCAGGGACAGGATGCTCCTTTCTTTGGTGCACAAGGAGGACAGCTCTCACATGAGGGTCTGGTGACCTGCTTCAGGGCAGAAGTGGAGGAAGCTAACAGTGACATTCCTGTTTCTGGCACTTTCCCAGATGACAAAGGGCCAGGTCCTATCGGCACAGCCTATATGACAATTCCTACATTATTTCAAATTGAATTTTCAGGACATGCACCTCAGCTCAAATAATTTTTCAGAATTATCTCCTATTTTGTAGCTTGGCATCTCACATTAAGAAGCCATTCTTTTCCATGATAGCTTCCTGCTCAGTAAAGGAGAGCCCTTGTCTTAACTTTCTAACACACTTCATCAACTAGAAAATTCTGCCTGTCTCTCCTCTGCCAAAATCTGCCCAGAAAGGAAAAGGAATTCATTTCCCACAGGCCTGAAGGGAACATATTGGCCATGTTCCAGCTGAAGTTCCTGTGGATGCAGAATTGTGGTTAGAAAAGGTGAACTTTTCCAGCATTTTTCAGGACTTCTTATAGTGATGTGGGAACTCTTGTTCCCAACTCTTGATATTTCCCCCTAAAGGAAGGAATGTGATTAATGTAACTCCCGATTCATTACTGGTCTCCCTCTGTCACCTGTACTCGGTATCTCGGGGGGCTGAAGTGACTTATCTGATTGTCCAATATGGAAAAATACATCAGGAAGGTTCATGTGAGCTCCTGTGGTCTCCATCTGAAGAGAGAGACTGCCTGCTCTGTTCCTCCCTGTCCTGAGGCTAACCTGGGCACACCCTCCCCACAGGGACCCAGTGTCCTGTCCCACTGGAGCTGCTGGGACCACTCCTGGGACCACTCTGATGGTTAAATGACTCCAATTCTAGAGTTTAACTTTAATAAGCCCATTCACCCAATCATGTAAGTCAAGTCCTCCTACCTGGCCTTCGTGATCCTTAGATGTTCCAGCCATCTCTTCTGCACAGGGAAGGGGGTTGTCTGTATTGAACTCGGCTCAGACCTCCCAGCACTGGTAAGACAAGGAAATGGACATGCATTGGATTCTTAGTCCCACCACTTAACCAGAGAGTGACAATAAAGTGACCTGAGCTCATCCATAAATAATGATACCAGCATCGTTAGGCAGGTGTGAGTATCAAACAGGACAGTGAATGGAAAAGAGCTTGGTACGCTGACAAGTTCTGCGCACAGGAGCCGTGCCTAAAATGTGGTGGCAAGGTCTTTATTAAACCTGTACCCAGCACACATGCCCGCAGAGATCTGAGCTCTTTACCAGGCACCTGTTCATTTCATGTCTTTGCAGGTCCCTTTCCACTTTATAGTCTTGGCTCTGGGACTAGCCTCAGCAAGACTCTGGCAGGTGAAGCCATCATTTTGTTGAATGTCATGTGAATAGAGCGAGATACCTGAGGGATAGAGTGCGGCACCAAACAGCTGGGTTTCCTCCCTGCTCCTCCACTCCATAGCTGGTGTCTATGGGTGAACTGCCTCTCTTAATCTTAGAGTCCTTGTCTGCAAAATAAGGATAATAATAGATGAAGGTGATGACGGAAGCTACTTTTTTTTATAGGGATATCGTGTGGGCCAGGTGAACCCAATACGAGTTTGGCACATAACAGGCATTCATTACATGTTATAACAGGCGTGATAATTTCTACCTGCCATCTCCACCATGGCACCCATGATATTCATGGTCCCAGGCTGGCCAGGATTCCCACCAAAGCTCCCAGTCAAACCCAGCCTCCTCCCCAGGCTTCATAGCCCATTCATCTCAGCGCCCCACAGGCTCCCCAGTCAACCACCCACACCACATGTACTTCAGCCCAAGCTCCCAGAGGCGAGCAGAGAGCTGGGCTCAGTTGATCAGCCAACCATCAAGGGCATCCAGAGCATCTCCTCCACACCAAGTCCAGGGCTCGGAGTTGGGGTCTTAGAGGCATGTCAGTCTCACCCTCCCTCCCTCCAGGACCACACTTGTGATGGTAACAGACAGGGATGGTAACAGGCCAGCTCCAGTGCTTTGGGAACCCAGAACCTGATTTCTTCCAAGGAGGTCATGCTTAGCTAGAACCAAAGACTGTCGCTGCTGAAGAAGAACTTCCAGAAAAAGGAAGGACAAGAAAAAACTAAGTAAAGTAAGTCATGGAGGGGAAACCACTAGGGTCATAGGAGGAGAGGGAGGCGAGACCCGCTGGAGCCCAAGGAGTGGAGAGGAACCTCCAGAAGGCACTCGGTGATCAGAGGTGGGGCTGGAGAGGTGTCCACATCGGCTTCCACTCCAAGGACTTCTGTGGGCTCTGGAGTCCACTCCAGGGATCCAAACCAGGGCATGCAGAAATGAGAGCAGACCCGACACAGTGACAACAGCAGTTGGGAGGACAGACTGTGGCAGGCTGGGAAGGTCTAGATGCTTCTGAGCTTCCATCCCTGTTCACTCATTCATCCTAGAAATGGGTGTTGCACTCCCCAGCTCAGGCAGCAGCTGTATCTTTGAACGAGATGGGCGGGGAGCCATCCATGAAAACACAGGATCTTCTCTCGGCTTGAAGCCAGTGATTAAGTTTAACCTTGGGAACTATCTGTGGCTCTCCGGGTGCAATAGATTGCCCAAGGCACATGAGCTTTGTCTTCGCTCTGCTAGGAAGAGCTCTCAGGGTCGCTCCAGAAATGAGCATAACCCGTTGGGAACTGGGCAGTCCACCTTTAACCTTTCTTGGAGAAGAACATTCTATGGAAGGCCTTTGATGTCATCCAATATAAATGAAGCTGGTGCGGGCTCCATTTTGCCATTAGTATAGAAGCTCGGCTAGCCCGCCCCACCCCCACTTTTGAAACATTTTCTGTGTCCTCCGGTTTTTTTCATCGTTCTTTTTTCCCTAGCTTTTATTTCTCAGCCAGCCCATTCCACCGAGGGGAACCCCATTCCCGTTACCTGCGCGGGACGCAGGAGAGACAGATGCTCTCTGAGCTCCCTGGGCCTCTGTTTTCTCACCTGTGAAAGAAGGGTGTCAATACTCGGGGGGCCAAGGCTGTACTTTCTGGAGTCAGGTCTTGGGCAGGGGATGCTCCTGCTGCTTTCTGGAGTGTTCTGCAGTCTTTGGCAAATGCTCCCTAGGACCCTGCTCTGCCTCAACAATCCTCCTGGACTGAAGGATTTTAGATATCCCCCCAGCCTTTTCCAACATCCACGAGACTATCCTCTCTGGGGATCAGGGGCACACATTTCCATGTTATCTGGCCATGCCTAGTAGGTGCTTGCTTAGAAATTAGATGCCACATGGGTGTTGGTTGTGTTGGGTGCAGAGCAGGCTGAACAGATGTTGGCTGCAAGATGGCCCACGCACTCAAACCCCCCTCTATCTGGTCCTTTATCACCTGTTTGCCTCAAGTCTGAACATTCAACCCTGCTCAAGGCTGAACACTTAACCCCGCCTTGGGCCCACAAGGCAGCTTGCAGACCCAGGGGCCCCATTAGATTTGGGCTATAAAAACTCCCTCCTGTCAGGCCCCCCTCTCTCTTGCTCTCTCTCTTGCTCTCTTTGTCTTTCCTGCACATGCTCTCTGTCTATCTCTTGCTCTGGCTCTCTCCCTCTTCATCTCTTTTCTCTCTCTCTCTCTCCTTCTTTCCTTCTTTCTTTTCTCTTTGTTGCACTGCTGCAATAAAGATCTTTTGGTCACTCCGAGTGTTGTGGTCACTTTCCTTTCAGGTTGGATGTCAGCATCCTCTAACAAGCATACTCCCCAGACCTGTGAGGAACATGGTGAAAAGGCAGGGGTGGGGGTGGGGGGCCCTCGTGAACCTTTACTGCATGTGCAGATTCAGAGGCGAGGGGCTTTAATGACCTTCAGTTAACCTTGCAGAACACGGGGAAATAGGAGCTGCATTCCTGTACTCCCAAGAACCAAGCTGGGTGCCAGAAAGACAAAGCAAGGCATCCCCCACAGTCACAAAGTAAGGACACAGCAGAGCCAGGTCCAGAGGGGAAAGCACCTGGCCTTCCTTCTGCGGCATCTGCCCTGATTCGGCATCTCTTCAACCTCTAGGGACCTGGGGTGGCCTCTGCATTTCCCAGGTCCTTGGCCTGAGGCTCCCCCACCTCGGGGGGAGCAGGGCTGCTGCTGTGATGTGACCCGAGGAGGAGACCCCACTTTAATGTGTCCCACTCATCACTCCCTCCAGCAGAAGAGACAAATGGTTGAACACGGCCTGCGTGCCCTTGCAAACCCTGCTGGAAAACAGCAATTAAAGCTTTTCCTCGAAGGAGTTGTTCTGGAGATGAAAGAAAGGAAACGGGATGTGGAAATGGAGGGGCATTTCCGTGGGGCATCCGGGGATCCTCGGGACTGTTCAGAGAGAGGACAGCAGGCTTAATTAGCCGTCTTTGGGTGCAAATGCTCGAGAGTGGCCAGCTCTTCTCAATATGAATGAGCATGCGTGCGTGTGACACACCTAAATGTTCATCGGCATGTGTGTATATGCACAGACATTTGCTTACAAAAATGCTTTCTAACTTAAAAAATACAAGATGTTCATTAAAGAAAATCTTCAAAGTAAAAAAGCCGGGGGCTGGGGTTGTGGCTCAGTGGTAGAGCACTTGCCTAGCCTGTGTGAGGCACTGGGTTTGATCCTCAGCACCACTTATAAATAAATAAAAATAAAATAAAGCTCCATGGACCACTAAAAAATATTTTTTTAAGTTTGGGGGGGCAGGAAGAGAGAAGAAATCTCCTTTGGTCCTTGTTTTCCCCCCTGCCCAGGAGACGGGCACTCCTGGAAACAGCTGTGAGTAGCGTCTGATTCATTCCATTCATTCCGTTTCTCTTTCCACATATTCGAAACTCTGATTTGGAAGGAGCAGGAGGTATTCATTTAGCCCCTTCCCTGTGCCAGGCGAGCGCCCACTGCTTGCCCCTGCCACACTCCAAGTGGTGCTGGGAAATCAGTATCGTCATCCTTCTTTACAGATGAGGAACCCGAAGCTCAGAGTGGTTCAGAAATGAACCCAAGGCACACAGTTTCCAAGTGGTGCAGCCTGGAATTCCACGGGTCCCTATCAGGTTCCAAAGCTCCTCTTCTGCCCAGGTACCTCAGGGGCACGGATGGAACAGACTAGCACCTGCCTCTTACTCTCAGTTGCTCAGACTGTAACAGGGGTAGTCAGGATGGCATGGCGCTGGTCAGAGCTGAGACAATACTGCAACAGTGGGGGGGGGGTTGCTTAAAGTCCTTTGGGAATTCCCAGGGGAGCAGCCTATTTTCCACTGGAGAAAAGCAAAGGGAGGCTGGGCCAATGGGAGGGGTGATATCCGAGCTGGTCCTAGAGATGGGGCAGAGTTAAAAGGGCATCTCTGGGGGGTCTTCCAGGCTGAGGTCACAGCCTCAGGAAAGATAAAACAGTGGAGCTCTCAGGAACAGGAGACTCAGGTGGCACTTGGGGACAATAGTGGAAGCATAAAAAGGGATGCTGGAAATGAAGTTAGAGATGAGAGTAAAGGGCCAGGAGGGCTCGGCTGGGGGGAGAAGCTGTCACTGAGCAGAGGAATGACATGCTCTGAGTGGCAGTCTCAGGCTTCCTGGAGGAGCGCCTCCAAGGCTGAACTGAGGGTGGGGGACAGCTTTTCAGGGTAGGAAAGCCAGGGAGGCTGCAGCCATGGTCACAGATCAACAGACTGAGAGGTGGGGGTGATGCAGAGACAGGAGAGTCCTGGAGTAGGAGTTAGGCCAAGACGAAGTGATGGGACTCAGACTGGAGAGGTTCAGGCACAGTCCCTGCACAGGGGACAGGGCCATCCGCTGGGAGAAGCAGCCCAGGAAGAGCAGCAGGTGCAGGACACACAGTGTAGTCAGTCTTGTGCAGGTGAGTCCGGGGCGACCATCAGGCATCACGTGGGACACACTGTAGGGGAGTGGACATGTCGTCGGGCGCCTGAGAGGCTGGCCTAGCACCTTCCCGCACAACCCAGGACAGACCCAGGAGGCCTCGGAGATCCGCCCCCAGCCCCATCCTCCCACAGCAACACCCCAGCCTCTGATTAGCTGACCTTCCCACACCACCCCAGGGTGCTCTCTGCCAGCGTCCTCCACTCATTGAGCCCCGCATCTTCTCACGCCTTCCTTCCAGGGGGGGCTCCTGGGCCCTCCTCCCCGCTCAGCCTCCCGCTTTCTGCCAGCCCTCGGGATCCCTTATGCAGTCCCCATCCTGACCCAGCTTTTACCCCATGACAGACTGGCAAGGCCACCTTTCACAGCACCCTCCATGTCCTTGCCCTCGCCCTGCACTGCACCTGCTGACAAAGCTCCAGTCAGCTCCTTTATGAGGTGGACCCAGTGGGGGGCCTTCAGGTCATTGGGGACATGCCCCTGAAGGGTCAGCAGGAGCCAATCAGGGTAAAGGTCAGCAGGTTGGGGAAAATTGACATCTACACCCAACCTACAGGCAGTAATGGCCGTGAGGGCAGAAGGGTTCTGAGCCCATCCTAGAGGTGGTCCGATTCTTCATCACCACCCACCGCAATGCCCTCTGGCTAATCGCTAGGTGCTCTCTAAGCCACGTGTGGCCCCAGGACTGGGAAGTCGGTAGCAGCCAGCAAGTTAAGTTTCCTCTTTTCTGATGCAACATGTCCCACGTTACATCGTGCCCTACACTGACCCCAACCCAGTTTCTGGGTGTCCATCTCTTTAGGATCAAGGTTGACGCATGGCATGGTGGCTGCAAGAGGAGACCTGGGTCCCCATCACCTCTGCCGGTAAACTGCTGTTGTATTTAGGTTTAAGACCTATCATTTGCCTGGACCTCCATTTTTCCATGCCAAAAGGGGTTGCTAATATACAAGGCACAGAATTTGGGGCAATCAAATGAAAAGACTTTAAAAACCCGGGCCTTGTCAGGCTCTGCAGGAGAGACTCAAGCAAGGGAGTGAATAGTGGCCACAGCCCAGTCCCAGGCCAATGGGAGCCCCCCAACCCCACTGTCCCTGAACTTCCCAGACCATCTGAAGGATGCGGGTGGCCCTTCAGCCTCTATGAGTTGGAGCCCCACCTGCTACACCCTCCTCCGACTTTGTTTCACTGCCAGCTTCCTGAACTCTGGTTACCTGTCCCCTTAAAAATGGCACAACTAACAAACACTAATTACTCTGGACAAAGGAGGAGGCTCCCTGGCAGCACAGCATTCAAGGGCGGCCGAGGTAACAGGCCGGGGATGAGCCGCAGAGCAGGAGCTTATCCGCTCTCTGGAACTGGCGAACTCTTTCCAGATTTTAATTACATTTCTCAAAAACAAAAACAAGACCTGCTCCCCTGTGAGAGCTTCAGCCCCATGTTATGGAGAGCAGAGCCAGCTGTGTTGGAAGGCAGGTGACAAAGCACGCAGGGACAACAGTGGCTCACATGTCGGGGCATGAGCAGTTGTCAGGAGCCCCCTGCTGTCCCCACGTGTAGAGTGACAAGAGCCCCCCCCCCCTCAGGCTCCTTCCTCTTCCCCAGGGTACCCTGCCTGAGGGAAGAAGAGAGAGACATGTTCCATGAAACCCTGTGTCCCCTGGAGCTCCCCAGGACGGGTGACTGTGGCACCTAACAGCTTCAAGTCTGCACCTGACTCCACGATTTCAACAGCAGCTTTTAAGAGTGGAGAGAACACCTAGGCTCTCTGGACTCAGTGGGTCTCAGCATGAACAACTGGAGACTTGAGTCCTTAGGAAAGTCACTCCACCTTATTTGAGTTACAGTTTCCTCATCTGTAAAATGGGGTCACTGCCTTCCCCTCTATCAGCCTTCCCAGGTTGCTGTTGACCTGAACCTGACATAAAGGGTCATAGCTCTGAAACCCTTTGGCAAGCTTGAGAGGTGCCATGGTTTTGTCCCTCTGAGTTAGGGTGCTGGGTGACAGAAGCCCAAGGAAGCTCCAGCAGCTGTGCAGACCAGGGAGGAACACAGCAGTTCTGCCCGTTAGCCTGGTGGGTTCCCTCCATCCATTCTCCCTGCTGGCCAAGGCCCACTGGGAGAGACTCCTTTTGAAATTCCTTCAGCATCCAGTGTCATGGAGACCACCTGCTGTACTAACAATCCTTTTTGGACTTTTGAGTCGCCTGAATGGCTCACCCTACCCCTCCAACCTGACCTTTCCCCCCCGGGACTTGCAATGGGGCATTGGTGACAGCAGAGACAGAATTCACAGCCACGATTTCCTTAGACATCACTGGGGTGCATGCAGATGCGTCCTCAGAAACATCAGTGCCTGGCGAGCCAGATACTCCTCACGGAGGGTGTGTGCAAGAGCCCACTGGGGAGTGATCTGCACCTCTAATCTCTTCACCAGGGACTTTCTAGATCAGTTGTTCCCAGCTTGGAGTGGTTTTGCTCCCCAAGGGCATTTGACAATGTCTGGAGAGATTTGAGAGTCACAACTGAGGGTGCTGCTGGCATCTAGTGGCATCTAGGGACACAGCTAAACATTCTAACTAGATAGGGAAGCTCTCTACAAGGAGAGATCTGGCCCCAGGTGTCAGTAGTGCTGAGGTCAAGCAGCCTGGTCTAGACAATAATCTGGGGCTTCCTGAAATAGTTGGCTGCTGCTGTTACTCCGACTAGCCTTGGCCAGGGGGTTTCCTGACCAACTATCATGCCACAGAGAACCCGGCACCCATCATCATTGCCAAAGTAAAGGGCTTTTCTTTTGAATGTTTGCCATCCTGTTTTAGGTCAGGGTTCATGAGGCTCCCGCTGAATAGACACAGAGGTGAGTTTAATTCCTCTCTGTCATCCTGAGGAAGGACAGCACCTAAGACTTGCTTTGATTATCTGACAGGCACGTTTTCCAAGGATGAAGGTCATTCCCTTTCAAAGGATCTCTCCTTTTCCAAATTAGAACTCCTCATGTACACAAGCTAAGCATTACATTTGCAAATCCTGATGCTAGCTCAAAATTATATTAAATTTGAGTAAGAGCCAAGTCAGCTCATCACTATGCACTCGTCAATCTGTCCACAGAAACGTGTTCAGCACCTTTTATGCCCAAGCCCTGCTGCTCCAGCATGGAATTCCAAATGAGCTCCAGGAGCGCACGCTGGTGGTGGCAGACACCTGCAGAGAAGCAGTGGCTGGGAGTGAGATGGATTTGGTGTGGACCAAAGCTGCTCCTGTTCTCCTTGCACACACAGCTGGACTCTCTTTCCCAGCCCCTCTGAAGCTGAGTCTCTGCATTCTGGATATTGAACAGGGAGCCAAAAGACTCACCCAGATTCTGGCCAATAAGGGCCTCCTGTGGTTGGCTGCTACCCTTTGCTGGTCTCTTACTAAGAAGGATCAACAAATGATTATGATGCCCTAAGGGGTCATACAATCACAATATGGACATGGGTATCCGGATGGCCTTGGGGAAGATCATCCCCAACAAGAATACTGAGAGTCAAGGTGGCAACCAGAGTCCATAGGATGGACGGATGTGGCTGGACGAATTAGAGGTTGAGAAGTCCCACGATCTGCTGCCTGCCAGCTGAGACCCAGAGAAGCTGATGTGTGATTCAGTTCCAGCCAGGAGCCTTGAGAACCAAGGAGACCAACTGCATAAGTCACAGTGCAGGGGCAAAGGCCCAGAACTAGGGGCTGCTGGTGCAAGTCCTGCTCTGAATCTGAGAGCCTGACGCCAGGGGTGCTGATGTCCCTGGGCAGAAGAAATGGATGCTGCAGCCCAAACCAAGAAAGAAAACTCGCACTTCCTCTACTTGTTTGTGCAATTCTGGCTTTGATAGATTGGAACTGATTTTCTTTGTTTGGTGGGCAGATTCAAATGCTGATCTCTCTGGAAATACCCTCACAGACACCCCTAGAATTGATGTCTTACAGCTATCTGAGGACCACTTAGCCCAGTCAAGTTAATGCATAAGACTAAACATCACACCCACATCAGAGTGAGAGATCACTTTGTGTTGTTAAGCAACTGAAATGTGCGTTTTTTGGTTTGGGGGTTTTTGTAGCATCAGCTAGACCTGGCCCAGGCAATCTCCCAGGTAGAGCTGATTCTCCTTCATGTCCCCAGGAGACCTTACAAAGGCCTGGATCACAGCACACGGTGAGGTCTGCTGCACTGGAACATCATCTGTTCGCAGGCCACAGTGGTGGCTGACTTTCTAGACAGGCCAAGCTTTGGGCTGGCAATCTGTGTGGAGGGGACCTAGGAGGCTTGTCCTGATGCTGACACTGACCAGCAGAAGTGCTGTGGTCTCCCAACCTCAAAATAAAAGAGCCGGGTTCAGGCACAGTTATAAGGATAAGAAAATAGCTGTTGCTCCATTTCCAGGAACACATAAGGAGTTCCCCTGCCAGACTATCGAATAAACAACTGGGGTTGAATCTAGGCTCTGCCACATAATATTTGTGATACTAAACAAGTTACTTAATCATGCTCAGACTGCTCCTTCATTTATGGAATGGGGATAACAAGAGCCTCGACTTCTTAGAATTAGGATGATAATAAGACGATACATGAAGAATGCTTATCCTAGGTCCTGGGACTTCATATCAGGCATCATGATGATTATTATTTCCAAATACTCAGCAAAGCAGAGTATTTATTGAACAAATGAATAATTAATTTAAAAATTAATCCAAGTCTTAGAAACACCAGGAGAAAGCTATTGCTCAGCCAATTCTAGTTCAGCTATCATAATTAATTTTGGAGCTATATTCTGCTGACTTCTTTTCAGAAAGGATCCTCCTCTAGATTTAATTAGGAAGGCAAAGTCAACATCCTATCAGGTGTAAGAGTGGGGATGTTAAAATATTTTGTTAAAGACCACAATGCTATTTTTGTCTAGCTCAGCAAAAGGCACTACCCTGAGTCCTCGCTGTGGCAATTCAGGTTGCAGTGAAGAATCGGGAGGAGGCGAGATCACAGACCACTATCTGTTTTGACAAGAGATCGGGACACAGCCATAAAGAGCTGAGAGCCAGTGAAGACCTGTGCTAAAGACAACCGTAGGCCTCAGAGGCAACCTTAGGAATCATCTCAAACTTGAAATGGGAAGTTAGAGGGGGAAACTGAGGCCTAGGAGGGCTCACATTGCCCAAGGTCACCAGCTAGGAAGCAAAGGTGTGACTCCAAAGGCTTCACTCTCAGCAGCCCCTGAGTGTTCATCCAGCTAAATAGAAGCACCTGGGCTCTTCCCGAGCACCCATCCATCTTTCTCCCCAGGATCAAGTGCAAACAGAATAATTCATTCTAGCTCCTCCAGAGCTGGGTATTGGTGTCAGAAGACCTTGGCTGCAGTCCACATGTCACACAAAAGATGACTGAACCCACGAGCGGAGTAAGACTCACAGCAAATGCTCCCCGCTTCCTTGGTCACCTCCAGTCGCAGAGTGTGGCAAATCAACACCACTCTTTGAGGTCAGATGTTTGGAATCACAGTATCCTTTGGGATCAAATTATTGGCAAAATAACTGAGGGGTGGTATGGGGACAAAATCCTACTTCATGACCTACAGCTGGGCACCTTGTCCAGTGTAATCCAACTCCAAACCAAGGTCTAGCCCCATCTGCATTCATTCCCGGGGGCCACATGGGCTAGAAGTGAAAGGCTCAACTCCGCAGTTGGAGGGCCTGGGCTGGAATCCCTGCTCTGCCGCCCACCTGTGAGTCTGACCTCTGTGCGTCGTTTAACCTCTGCAGGCTCAGGTTCCTCCCCTTTGAAGGGGGCATTCACAGTACCTATTCCTAAGGCTTTGGAGAGGAGGGCCCACGAGCAGCCTGCTGTGAATCGTCACTCCTAGGCCAGCTCTGCTGGCTGTGGTACTGACCTCAGGCCTGGGCAGCACAAAAATGAATGGCGCTCTGTCTTGGCTCTCGGGGAGCTCCCACTGAGTTAAGAGCCTAGGAGAGCCATCAAAGGACTCTGATGCAAGGCCCCAGGGGACTCGCGCTGTGCATTTTGGTCAGAGGAGGTGGTTTCACAGGTGTGAGCACCAGGACAAAAGCTCATGGTGGAGGGTTCTGTGCACAGCTGGCCTGGGCCGAGGGCACTCAGGAGAAGAGTGGGTGGTGGTTAGTGTGGGGGCCACGGGAAGGGATCTAAGATCCTGGACTGCAAAGGGTGTGATTCCAAGAGAGGTTCCTGAGCTCTAGTGGTGGGCGTGTTTTGGAGGAGAGGGTGAGTGTGGGTCCCCGTGCAGCACAGCACAGCACAGCACAGCACAGCACAGCACAGCACAGCACAGCACAGCCTTGCCTGCCTGCAGTTTACAGAGCATCCACCTGACCTCACAACAGCTTCAGGTGACACCTCCTAGTTCAGTCCTGGCTACAGCAGGCCTTACTCTGTGCTACCGCATGCCAGGGCACTCCTTTGGACTTGGCCTTCAGTGACTCATCCAAACGTCCCGACTGTCATTCTTAAAATCTCCTATTCACAAATGGGGAAACCAAGCAAGGAGAGGTTAGGTGACTTGTCCACGGTCTCATCGGGGTCCAAGACACAGACCCACACAGCTGGTCACGTAGCCCACAGCCTTAGCCATTAAGCCAGCAAGAGGACTGGGGCTCAGACCTGGGAAGTGAGTCCTAAGTGAAAAACACAGAGTACAAACCCAGGTCCTCAGAGGCCTGGCCAGTGGCCTCCCGGCACACAGCCTTGTCCACCCACACAGCCTTGTCCACCCACCCAGGCTCTCTTGATAATACAGAGGGCTTGTCCATTTCATGCCCAGGCCTGGCCCCTGCTCTGAGAAGCCAGGTTCTCCATTTATCAGGAGCCCCCCACCCCATCCCATTTTGAATGCAAACATCTTCGGATAGTTTCTGCTCTGTAGTGTGGCTGCTGTCACCAGCTTGGTGTCCCTTGGCCCCACAATGGCCTAGCTGAGAGAAAGGCCCAGGAGAATGAAGACTTCCCTTCATATCCTGAGTCAGGGTGAAGGGGACCGAGGACATTGTTAGAAGTTAAGCTTTGAGAAACCCCTCCTCCCTCCCTCCCTCCCTCCCACGGTACGTACTTACTACTTTTCTTTTTCATTTTTTTAATCTTCTTTTTCTTTTCTTAATCTTCAGCCTAAATAAATGTTTGCAGAGAGGAAATCACTGCAGATAAAGCTGAGTGTGTCCCGCGGTGCCAGCTCAGGTGATGTGCTGGATGGCACTGGTCCCAGGGCCTGCTGCTCTTCCCTCCCCCAGAGCAAGCCACCACTGATGGTGCAGAGGTGGGGAGGTACGCAGCCCTGACCATCAGCTCGCCTGGGTGCTGTGACAGCTCTGCCACCAGCCCCCTGGGTGACCCGGAGAAAGACGCTTCACTTTTCTGTGCTGTTTACAGTAAAATGAAGGAGGGGACCATCCCTCCCAAATGTGTTAGCTGCATGTATGAAACCGTGTTTGTAAACCTCTGCCCAGATGGTCCTGGACACACGCAGAGTTATCAGAATTAACTCGTGGCTGCCCTGCCCCTCCACCCGTCACATCCACATCCTGTGCAAACCGGCAAAGTTGCCACTAACCAGCTTAACACTTTGGACTTTGCGATACCATTTCTTTCTCCGTGGAAGGAGGGGGATAATATGTCCCCACTCTACTTTTGTGAGCGTTAAGCCACTGATTTCCCAGTAAAGTTGGTCAGAAAGTAAACGGACACTCCAGCGGGCCCAGCCCACTCCTCACCTTCCTGTGTAATTTGTCTGATTGTTTGCCCTCCCATGAGGACTGCAGGCTCCTCTTGGGTAGAGTTTGTGTTTTTTGGTTTTTCCTTTTTGGTGATGAACGGGCCTCTTGCATTCTAGGCAACCCTTCTACCACTGAGCTAAATCCCCTCCCCAAATCAAGTCTTTCCTATTTTAACATATTCTTCTTTGAAATACATACTGGGTGCCTCTTGCACATCTCTCCAAAACAGAGTGCCAGCTGTCACCCTCAGCCTCACCTCTCCTCATCCAGCCACCACTGTGACGGCCATTCCCCAAGCTTCCACGGGTTTTACCCAGGTGTCATTTGGCGGGGCCCTGACTCAGAGCGAGGACCTGCATCTCCTGGGCCCTATCCCATGGTGCCACACCCCTGGGCACTCGGGGGAATGGTCCTGAGATGCATTTCATAAAGTGCCAGAAGTCCACAGGGTCCAGCAACAGGTCACACTCAGTGGCGCTCAGCTTACCAACGCCTCCTTGGGCTGGCTGCTCTCCTTCCAACGTCACCTCCCCGGGTCCTAATTCCTGACTTCCCGCATTGTACCTTCAAAAGAAGAAACTTCACTGTGAGCCTCTGTCTCAGGGTCTGTTGCTGGGGGGCCCAGGAAGAGAAAACCCGCTCTCTTCCTATACTCCCCATTGAGTGGATGGCACCCCGTCCACACCGATTCCAGGAAGGCATTCGGGGAAACGCTGTGCTCCTACCTTGCCATTCTCCACCTAGTCAGATGGCTACCTTCCTGCAGAGTCTACTTTATTTCTTGAGGTTTTACTTTACTTCCCGTGGATTCTACTTTCTTACAGCTTTTTCAGTAGTTCATTTCTCACCATCTCAGCTCCCTTGTCTCTGTGGGCCACCATCATCCTCCCGTGGGCAGAACCGTCTCGACGGCTCCCTGTTTCAGGCCTTTGCAAGGCCAGATCTCAGAGAATCCCACATGGCTGCTGTCAAGATTGCAATTTATCCAGAGGGCAGTGACCTGCTCGGATTCACAGACTACAAGAACTCTTTGTGGTATCAGGGGTGAAAAGCAGAATCTAGAGCCAGGAGGATAATTTACCCTAAATAATTTACCCTAACAATTCAGTGGAGCCCAGTTTTAGGCTACTGTAGAAGACGAAGCGAGATGTGGAAAATCCCAAGCAGCAGCCCATTTGGCCATCAGGTTTGACTTCACTCCTCATCCCTTGTTTCCTGGGAATCCTGCAACTCATGACATTGCACCTCCAGGGTTTCAGTGGGAGGGAGCAACCTTGCAGAGTCTGACAAACCAAGCACTTTTAGCATCAGGGGACCCATGAACCCACTGTGAGCTGGCTTGTCCTCAAATAAAAGTGCTGCTTCATCTCTAGGCAGAGTTTGGAGCAACCAGAGGGAATTAAATTAATAAGCTGCACAAGGAGCGCAGACCCGCTCGGGACCTCTCTGAATCATCCCGACATGGATGCCTCAGCCTTTGTGCTGAAGTACAGCAGTTCCATCCTGGGGACAGGAAGCCCAGAGTCTGCTGTTTACATGTTTATCATTGTCCCCCCACAGGCATTTGGGGGAGGAGGTCCAAAGGCGGCTTGTTTACAGCTAAGCCTAAATTATAATATGACATCTACTTGGGGACTAATAAAACCCATCTGGGGCACCTTTTAAATAAACTAACATCAATGCCAATCATCATATTTAGTTCTCAGAAGGGGAATTGTTTTATTTAACAGACAGAGACACTGAGGCTCAGAAAATAAGTGAGTCTACTGGAACCAAACAGGAAGTTCTCCGTCTCTCCACGACTGTGACACCTTCTTGAGATTCCTTTTTAAACTTTTCCTTCAGGAATGATACCATGGTCCGATTTCTCTAGGTAGAAAGAATCTGTTACATCATTGGCCTATTTTTCAAAGGGTATCTTTTATTTAGAGCCCTGTCATCCAAAGCCCAGACACTCTGGGCGGAGCTGTTCACATGCCTCTGCACGCAGGAAGCCCCTGGACCACCCCACGGCCTGCGGACGACTCCAGCCTCCAATCTGCATAGCATCCAAGCCCCACCAGACCTACAGCTCTTCATTGTTGGCATCCCATAAACCTTCTCTTTTCCTTATTGAATGTTTAATGGCCATTTAATTTCAACAACCAAACCTTTCAACTGTAGCATAATAGAGAGCAAAGGGTAAGTTTTGTAAGTATGCTCCTGTTGCTTTTCCACACACTGGATTTGGTTGGCCATCAGGAACTATGTTCCATGAACATTTGCATACTAACCTTTACCTGAATACCTATTTCCAGTTCTCTTGGGTAAATACCTATAAGTAGTGGGTAGTGGTATCTCCTTATGGTTTTAATTTATATTTTCCCAATTATTGCTGAAGTATTTTTTTCAGGTGATTATTAACCAATCATATTTTACGCTGCACAACATCTATTCAAAGTGTGTGCTCATTTAAAAAAAAAAATTGATTATGTCCAGGCATGGTGGCGCATGCCTGTAATCCCAGCTGTTCCAGAGGCTGAGAAAGGAGGATCGCAAGTTCAAAGCCAGCTTCAGCAAAAGTAAGGCGCTAAGCAACTCAGTGAGACCCTGTCTCTAAATAAAATACAAAATAGGGCTGGGGGTGTGGGATTGAACTCGAGTGCCCCTGAGTTCAATCCCCAGTGCCCCAAACAAAAAACAAAAACAAAATAACAAAACTGGGTTGTTTATATTCTAACAATGAATCGTACAGCTCTTCGTGTACTTAGGATGCAAGCCCTTCGCCAGTTATCTATTTTCTCCAGTCTGTGGCTTGCCTTTTAATTTTCTTTAAAAGAGAGACGTTTTAAATTCTGATGACACCCCAGGAGTATGGAGATGAGGAAGACACAGCCCTGCTTCAAAGACCCCTCAGTGCTATAGGGAAACAAGCAAATCAAGGGTCCGAGCACAGCAGGGTCACACGAAGGTCAAAGAAAAGGGTGGGGGGTGGAAACTGGGAGGGACACCTAAGACCCCCTGGGTGCTGGCTCCCTACAGGAAGCAAATTGTACTTTAAAGCACCAATAAGGGACGAGGAGGAGAAAGACAATCTGGGTGGAAGACAGCGCATGCGCGAGCAGGCACATAGTCAAGTGGCCTGCAGGTGCCTTCTGGCCCTCTAAGCAGATCTCGCTATGGTTGTGACCAAGAGTGTGGGTGGGGGTGGAGGGAGGGAGACCAGGAGAAGCCCAGCGCCAGACCACAACAGGCTATGCGGATTCGGTGGAGAATAAGGTTTTCCTGTTGCTTCCTAGGAAGGCAATAGGAATCACACATAAGGTGAAATGGAAAGGGACTTTTTATATCAAGCTTAATCATAAATCTGTACTAAATAAAATGCTGTGTTATTGATGTAGAAATAGATGAATAGGAAAATGGAACATAATAGACAGCCCAGAAATGTATCCATATGTACAACAGCCTGACATATAATCAAGTGGTATCACAGGGCCACTGTGAAGAATGGGCTATTGAATCAGTGAATTAAGGAAATCTGCACTGAAAAAAAAAAAGATTTTTACTTTACATAACCTACAAAAATAGATTCCAGACATAGTAAGACATAAAAACTTCAACACTCTGACTCAAATATAGTCAAAAATCTTTATGATACCAAGGTAGGGAAACAAAATTCTTGAGCAAAAGCAGTGGGAGAGAGGAGTGGGATGTATTTTCCGTTTGGCCATTCTCCTGGGTGGCGTTTCATTGTGGCTTAATTTACATTTCCTGATAAATAATGAGATTCGGCGTCTCTTCATGTTTTTATTTCCCACTTGGATATAATCTTATGAAATGTAAGAATTAGGTCTTCTTCCCCTTCTTCTATTGATTTCTTAGAATTCTTCATGCAGTCTGGATATGAGCCCTTGGTCAGTTCTATGGGTTGCACATAGCTTCCCCACACTGTGGGTTTTTACTCTCTGGTGAAAAGAAGCTCTTTCTTAACTTCAGGAAATTCAATTTACCAATGTTTTCAAAGAAGACTTTAGATGGAGCTCTCTGAAGCTCTTTGCTACTCCCACCTCTGCTCTGGGCAGCCCGATGGGCTTGGCCCGTTCCCCAGTGTAAGTTTCTCCAGGAAGCTGGTGTGCTCATTCAGGTATTTCCTCTGTGCCTCCCTTGTGCCAGGATGTCTCCTGGCTGCTCTTGGAGGATGCAAGACAGAAACAAAGCCTCTTCCCTTATGGAGCTTACATTCCAAGGAGTTAGAAAAGTCCGAAACCATCAATGTGATTAATAAAATAAATCAGCAGACTGCCGAAGGGGCTGAGCTGGGATTAGACATGATAAATGTATAAAATCAGGAAGAAGCTATGACCTTCTCTGGCAGCACTCAGAGACCTGGGAAGAGAGAAGGCTGGCAGCAGAGGGTTATAAATTAGACTGAGAGAAAAAAAACAAAACAAAACAGCAATTCTTTGGTTTCATTTTCCTAAAATATATTCCCGTCTCCAAAGGTTATTGCCACAACTGGTTTGCTCAGTTTTAACTCTAGCAATGCCCATACAAATCCAGGAGTCCGATTTTTGGCACAAACACAAACCAAGGTCTTAGTGAGGCTCCAGCTTCAAGAATGGC